GTGTATGTGTGTGTGTGTGTGTGTGTGTGTTTCTGTCCCTCTGTCCTTAGGCAGATCCCCCAATCAATGATTCGGAGTCATGACAGAGGACTCTTTGACAGGACACATACTCATTCCCCCTAAACATCCTCAACACACAAACATCGTATCATGTATCTTTAACAGAAGTTAATTGTTCTTATCGCTTAATGGCTTCCCTGAACTTCCCTTCACCCCAAAGTCAGCTTACTAGGAATGAATACATTTCATTGATAAGCTCAAAAGGACGTTTATCTTGGTTACTGCTGGGTGACCCAAGTCTCAAGGCCTGCAGGATGTGTAGGAGATAAACATTAATTCTACAAGACTTTAACTACATTATCTGAAAATGTATCCGGGAATTCCCCTGTTAATTGCAAGGACTATTGATAATTAACAGAGAGACCCTAGGGGCCTCTTCTTGGTATCTGCTAGGCAGAAGTCACTCAATGCAGAAATCACAAGTTTAACACACATTCTATATAAGGTGACATTAAAATGAATATACCAGATTGAACTTTCCTGCCATAACACGTTACTTTAATACTTCAAATAACTCAAATAATACTTCAACACTCTGAGCAGATTAACATTTGGTGGAGCAGTTTTTTGATTGTATACACAATAAAAACAGTGAAAGCAGCAAGTTAATTTATGAATTATTATATATCGTAAATGACTGAGTGTGCCCTGAAACAATGAGTTGGATTACCATCCGGTCACCATGTCCCACAGACGATGAGCATGGTGTCGGCATTCAGCCCTCTCATCACTGCGGGGATATTTGGAGCGACTCTGTCCTCTGCTCTGGCCTGCCTGGTGTCTGCTCCCAAAGTCTTTCAGGTACACATATTTCCTACTCACTGTCTGTGTTTAACAACAAGCTTTTCTTTCTGATGTGACCAACATTTATTTTTCTGGCAGTGTCTGTGTAAGGACAAGCTGTACCCTCTTATCGGCGTCTTTGGCAAAGGGTATGGCAGGAATGATGAACCGCTCCGGGGCTACTTTCTAACGTACATCATCGCTGCCTGCTTCATTCTTATTGGTAAGGCTTTGAAGAACCCTCCGACCCCTATAGATGAGCAGAGGAATTACAACAAATAATGTCTGAATTGAAATTGTTATGTCCTGAAACTTCATAAAGAGATGAATACATTTCTGTAATTTAAAATGGGGAAAGTGGTTACAAGACGGCTACACATCTGAGAACACTGTTGAGATGGGGGGCAGTAACCTCGGTGACAAAGACATCAGATTTTCAAGCCACCTTATGTTTCATTAGGATACTTTATATAGCAGTAGGAAATGTTTGGTTTGCATTAAAAGGATCGTAATACAGCTCATACATATTTTTCTCAAACTCCCTTCTGTCGTCTCTTTCCACCAGCTGAGTTGAACACCATCGCTCCCATCATCTCCAACTTCTACCTCTGCTCCTACTGTCTGATCAACTTCAGCTGCTTCCACGCCTCCATCACCAACTCACCAGGTAAAACTCATTCACTTTGATAAATGCATGAATGAAGGTGTGAATTAATTGACATTAAGATAGAAAGCTACATGTAGCGTGCACAGAATGATAGTCACACAGGCTCACTCCCGTGACATTTTAAAGATTTTCTGAACAATGCAGAAAGCCACATTCATGTCCACATGGCGCTAACTACTACAATTTCCGTCCAAAGACTCTAATTTTCTTACCTGCTCTCGCCAGACTTCATATCACGTTCTCATTGCAAACACACTGTAGCAATACTGACACCTATTTGCAATCATTTGATATGTATAAACAACATTGCTGGCAATAAACAATATTACTTGCTAAACTCTTAACTAAAATGTAAAATGTCTTCCCCTGGACACAAAGAAAATGCAACAATAGCCTATTATTTTACACTATTCAATTATCACCACTAACATATCCTGCATAACATGACTGTTTATGCCACATACACATATGAATGATTTTATTTATTAAATACAACTATAACAAATAAATAAAGAGGAATTGCAGCTGAAATTAAGGGGGAAAAGTAACACTGTGGTGTCTATGTTGCAAAAAATGTGTGTGTACAGGTTGGCGTCCATCATTCAGGTTCTACAGTAAGTGGCTGTCTCTGCTGGCCTCTGTGTGTTGTCTGGTCATCATGTTCCTGCTCAGCTGGTGGGCGGCCCTCATTGCCTTTGGCATCGTCATTGTGCTTTTGGGATACACACTCTACAAGAAGCCTGGTAAGTTCACTCATATAAAGTGGGGTAAACCATAAACAGTCAGATGTCATTAGCCTGCCGATTCTCCTCCACCCTCACTCTGCTGCCCCCCTCTGTGCAGCCGTAAACTGGGGCTCCTCGGTGCAGGCCGGCTCCTACAACATGGCTCTCACCCAGTGTGTGGCCCTCAACCAGGTGGGGGACCATGTCAAGAACTACAGGTCGGTGACAGGATCCTATAGTTCCTTTCTCTACATTTAGAAGAGGAATGTTTATTTTGTTAGTTTTTGGAATTTGTGTTGGGATTAAATCTCAACTAAGTAACTTGTTAATGTTCCACTATCTGGTGTTCATCGACGAAATATTGCTTGGTCAAGGATGTCGCTCACCGTAGTTCCGGCATAGTGTGAGGAATAGCTGGCTGTACAATACAAACATCCATTTAACTGGCTAAGAAGATCACTTTATGCTGCGTTTCCATTACAGTTTAGTAGCTGGGGTAGTAACTATAGTAACGCAGTGAAGGCGGAGCCGTGACGTCATCTTCAATGTGAAACACAAAACCAACACCAGCCGTTAGCTGTTAGCCCTCAGAGCTCACAGCTCCTCATATCTGTTCAGACACTAGACAAAAGTTAAACAAGTACAAACCACAGACTGTCTGTGTCATGGAGAATACAGTCACTGCTTTATTTATGTCTGTATAGGCCGTTGTTGTGAGTGTGGACGGTCGGAGCATATCAGGGTTGCCAACTTTGGGTTCCTGGCTGGAGTCAGATTTTGATATCATGGGTTTGATTACACATATGCGCACTAAATGACTGCTATCGTGTCAGTAGCGGGACCTTAGCATATATATAAGATGTATATACAATATATACAAATACACAATATTGGACACAGACTATAAAGGGCACAACGTTTCATTCACTAATGAAAGTCAAACACATGTTTGTTTCCACTGTTTTATTG